CCCCCCCCCCCCCCCCCCCGCCAATGGCGATGACAACCAGGAGCAACTGTGATTGTCAGGATGGCAACCAGGAGCAACTGTGATTGTCAGAACATCCTTATGCACTAAGTACCCAGATATCCCTCCCGCAAGCCTACCCCCAGCATACAACAACCACCATGGACGAGGACCCCTTTCGTAGAAATAGGCAGTGTCTGTAGTCCTCACTGTATTTCAGACCAAAGGGTTGTGTGTAAATGGCCGTGCGTCAGTTAACGCCTGCCTGTGGGATATGCACCAAAATTGAGGGCTCAAAATATTTGAACCCACACACTCGTACCACAATGAGCATTTCCAAAGAGTGCTCTACCCACTGAGCTATCGGTCATTATACTGTAGGTGTATTCGATAAATCATCAGTCCAAGGATATTGCACTACTACTCTGTGTTTGCAGGGCGCCCATGGTGGTTGTCGACATCTGGCATGCAAGGCGGTATGTTTTGGCGGTGTGGTGAACCATTTGACTGAAAAACAGAAGATGCTTTTAACTGTCAGGTCACTTTGAAATTTAGAAGGGGGGAAGAGACTAATTTAGAAGGGGGGAAGAGACTAAGGGGGTCGGGAAGTCTCTAATTGGCACGCTGGTTAACAAGTTGAGGTGGGGTGAGTTTTGTGGATGAGGCACTCACAATCATCATCTTCGAGTGGACGTAGATCATGAATCTACGGTTATCCTGACTGTTCTTGTAATGCCCATCCTCTGAAACTGGATTGGGAGGAGCGTACTCGCCATCGTAATACCCTTCACGATTCCCCAAGCAGTAGAAGTTGAGGTAGTCTGTGGGCTTAGTATCAAGCCCGTTCCTGGCTATGGCTTCCGCGATGAGCTTGTACATCATCTGCATGGTGCGGTGCTGCCATTTCAGAATCTCTTGCACAGAGCCATCTGTCGGAATGCCCTCGGGCCACATCGGGATAACGACGTACACTGCAAACGGCTCGTTGGCATCGATTTTCCTCACGATCTTCAGTGCCAGCTCAACCGGTATGGTATGAATGGCGCTGACAGTCCTGTCCTCTTCCCATGCAAAACAGCTTCCAAGGAAGTACTGGTTCTCAATGTAGATGAACTGTTCTGCCCGACGGATCGAGTAAACGTACGCATCCTGAATGCTGCGCTCAACCGTGACATTCTTTCCACTTACAAGACCGCGTTCTCCGGCAGCCGCAGGATCATCCGGGAATCCATGGACAGAACCTGTGTCGATCGAGCGGAAGAACTGCACGTTCCACGCTTCGGGGTTGTCCTCCTGGACGAAAGGCGAATACGGTGCCTGGAATAGCTGCTGATTTTCAATAATGTCGTAGAGTTCATGAAGTTCCTTCGACCTCTGAGAACGCCACCTCTGCTCAAAGTTGTAGAGGACGTCCCAAGCTGTAGGGCCCTCCACCTTGGCATGGATGTCGTGCCAAGGCTCCCGAGGACCCCCCTGCTCAATGGACGCCGGAGGCTTGAAGTTCGGTTGATGCATGTCCTCCTTGTGCCACGTGTCAAGCGTCCGGAACAGCTGATGGTTCGGGGTATCGTACCTGCCATCGCACAAGTCAATTCCACCAACATAAGACACGATTCTTCGCTGCTCGCCAGTTTCGTCTCGCTCCAGAGGGGCATCCGCGACCACAAGCTTCTGGTGGTGCGTAAACATCATGCCGATCTGAACAGATTCGACATGACTCAGGTTCTTGTCGGGATCACGAGGACAGAGTTCACACTTGACAGCGGTGTTCTTGAAGAACTCCGCCGTCTCCTGGTCATGTGTGCCCATGATTCCACTTGAGCCAATCACTCCCGACGTGCGATCATCCCAGATGAGCAGAAGCACCTTCACTCCCTCGTTCGCTTTCCTTACCAGCAAATCACCCAGCGTCAGCCCCTCCGCACCAGGAATCATCCTCTCTTCGTCACGAATGAGCTGGATCTTGTAGTACACAGACCACCCACAGATGTAAATGAAGTGCTTCGCTTCAACAAACGTCTTGTAGATATCTTCCCACAGCCTTTGCTGCTTATATGTGGTGTAGCCCTCCAGCTCTATGTACGGCGCGAAACTGTTGGGGATGTGCGAATCCTGATACAGGGTGACGTGGTTGCCCGCCCTCACCGGGAAGTAGGTGTACGGGACACCGGGTTGTTTGTCCTTCTGCCCACAGCGTCCATACCTCTGCCTCAGCGTGTCGATGGAATTGAACTTCACCTTCAAGCGGATCGAAGCATTGGTCGGCTCGTCGCCCTTGTAGAGTTTGAACCAATCCTTCGTTTGCTCCTCGGTTAACAGGGTGTCCACGGGAATTCGTACCTCTCCCAACATCACAGCGCCAACCTTATCACTGTCCTTCACATAGACTCGAAGCTCCGTCGTCTTGTGCGCAACCTTGATCCAGAACTTCTCGTTCCAAGCCGGATTCAGGGAGTCCTGGATAACGCAAGTTCGGGCGACAACTGCCTTGGGTGGGAGTTCGACAGTCGCATACGGATCGCTCTTCTCATGTTCTCTATGAACTCCCAACATGCTCATCAGCTGCACACATCCAATCCGCAAAACGACAAACAATGTTTAAAAAACAGACGGGGAACACATCAGAGAAGGGACCATAAAGGATCGCATTGAATAACCAAACCTTTTTCTTTCTTTTGAGGGTAAAAACAGGGTGAACAAACAAAAAAGGTAGCAAATTGCATGTGGATGAATTAACTAGTTAAAGCATTCAGAGGCCCGACTGCTGAAGGAACAAATCAGCATATAGACTAGTTAAGTGGAGTGGAGTCAGTCCAACCACAGGTTCCTGAGTTTCACATATATACTGGATACGACACGGGAACGACCGCAAGGCGAGGTGATCGTAAGAGCGGAAGCTCTTCAAATGACGAACCCTATGGACAACGACCAACAAAAAAAAAAAAAAAAAAAAAAAANAAAAAAAAAAAAAAAAAAAAAAAGGATCCAAAGTGGCAGCGTATACATTGTTTCACCGGCCTCCGACTCTGCATGATTTTTTTTTCTTTTTTATTTGATTGATTGAAATTGATTCTGCATAATCTTGACTAGCCCACTGATGTTGTTTCCCTGAGAACCAACAAATAACGTTCCTGAGCTGTGCCTTTCTGAGGTCGTACTCATACTAGCACTTTCGTAAATGTATGCAACCACAATTCCAGTAGAACCTGGATGAATCTGACTGCAATCACGTCCAGAGCTGGGTCAAGAAAGTCCTCGTACAAGTAATGCCCTGAGCTGCACCCTTTTATTTATTTATTTATTTATTTATTTATTTTGTGCCCTGAGCTGCATCCTCGTGAATTTCTGTCTTGTATGTTTTGCTTTCTTCCTTGGGCAAACATCTGCATGCCAGTGCATGTTTTTCAGTAAAGGGAACTCCTTTTTCATTAATATAGCTTCCCTGTCTGTTTTCAAGTGTTTCCCTTTCCCTGGAAAGCATGCAAGGAAGCACAGTTACCACATCAACAAAGTTACATAAATCACAACCGGAGAAAATAAGAGGGTCATCACAACTAAAAAAAGATTAAAAAAAGAGACCACAGCTAAGTATGTGCTAAATAATGTGCCGAGGAAGAAAAGAACGGCACAAGCGAAGAATCATAAACAGAGAGAGAATTGAACATAAACCGGTAAGGAAAGGGTACCAGAATAGAGACTCTCTCTTTCCTTCGTCCCACTTGGGACAAGAAGCTGCTACCTGCTCCACAAAGGAGGAAGGTGATGATAGCTATGGTGGACTTTCTCAGTGGCTGGCAGTAAGGAGAGGTTTCGGACATTGGTTTTGGTTCATTCTTCCATTGTTGTTATTATCATTATTATTATTATTCTGGTTCATTCTTTCATTGCTATTATTATTATTATTATTATTATTATTATTATTACTATTATTATTATTGATAAGAAGTTGGGGGAGTAAAAGAAGGTTGGAGATGGTGGCAAGGTGAAGGGGGATTGACGTTGGTCTTTGCTGGTGTTCATCTTCTACTTCCATTGTCATTTCTTCTTCCTCCTTTGTCTCTTTTTTTCTCTTTGAATTTCCAAGTTCTTTCATTCCAGTTGCAATTGAACGGCATTATGTTTCTTGGCGTTGTTGATTTTTTTTATTTTTTTTTTTAATTTTTAGAGTTGTTGAATTTCAAGATAGCCAGGATCGTAACAGCATTAAAAATATTCTGTTGCAAATGCGGTGCACATGGCTTCCACGCCCGGTTAAAAATATTCGGCTGCAGATGCGGTGCACATGGCTGCCACTGCCAGGCCCGACCCCATAGCGGTCCGGTAGATTGCAGTAGTCCAGGGGTGGGCAGAATCCAGCATTTGGAAAACGAGGCTCACATGTACTGGTGGCGTGTTTAAGAGGGGTTTCTAAATGACTTACCCCGCCCATCAAGCCCCCACGATCTGTATCCTCCAGTCCCTGTGCTTCATAGATCTTGACCTCCAGAAGCCCATGAAGAAGCTTTTCTTCCATTGTCGATCTGCAATGCAAATCATGTAAAACCCAGAACCCCCCACATAAATAAAACCCACAAACCCACATAAATAGTAACTCAGAATTTCAGAGCCATTAGACTGATTGAACCCAACCACTTGTCAATTCATCATTTACCTTCCCACGCATTACTCTGTACATTCCTGGAACTGCCAATATAACCCAAACAGACATTGAGGGCAAGAGGGGAGAGAGAGAGAGAGAGAGAGAGAGAGAGAGAGAGAGAAGGTAGATGCAATTGGGGACTAGCTTCTTTCCGCAAATAGAACGTATGATCATTATAGCTGTATCTAGACAGAAAATTGCCACAAATGCGGCTAAAATGACCGTACGTTCTATTCGGGGGAAGATTGTAAAGAAAGGGATCCGCATTCTACTCCCCTAACTGCAGGGGTCCTTTGCCCTCTTCCGCTCTCTTTGCCTTGATTCGTTTCTAGGCTTTATGTATTTATTGCATTTTGTTTTGTCCATTTTTGCTTCTTTGGTCTTTCCTTCTTTCTCCGGTCGTTCTTGGCACCTTCCTTAGAGGCGTTTTTGCTCTCTTTCCCTCCCTCATCCCTTGCGGCTGTCAATAGTGATTGGGGTCCACCGGATCGGATCACCGTTTTTCAACCAAAAAAATAATAATAAAAGGTTTCGACTCTTTCGAGACTTGCCTCAGCTGACCAATTTCGCTGTTAATGGGATTTAAGAATTAAATTCACTTAACCATACAAAGTTAATATACTCAACGTTCTTGGAGAATATTGCGTCACCAACTTGGCCTCCAGGTTCACCTTGGTTGCCCGGCTGGCCCCGGCAGGCAAAGGGCCAGGGGAGGTCCCTGTGAAAGAACTGAACAACTTTTGCCTCAGGCAAACCGAAATTCTTTGTCAAATCAAGATATATTATATATCGTCATATATATACAAATATAAATATAAATATTATAAATATAGTCATATACAGGGTAACCGGCGTTCGGGACGGGCCGAGCGCCCGAACCCGAACGCAAGAACGTCTGGGACACTTGGGGATGCGTTCGGCCGTTCGGGCCGAACGCGGACCCAAAAAAAAAAAAAAAAAAAAAAAAAAAA